TACTTTAGTCATATTTAGGTTTTAGCTATACCTTAGATTTCCCACCTCCAGATGTTTCCAGATGTTTTTATGCACATTTTGAATTTATGCATAAAAACAACTGGATGGAAACATGAATTGGCCTACTGTTACATTATGTTGAGAATTTATATTATGTTAATTTAATAAAATTTTCATATTGTTCATTCTGTTAAAAAAAAATTTTTCTAAGAATAAATTGAATAAATAAATAAATCTTCTAAACAATTCAAGTGTGTACAGTCGGGTTTTGAAACATTTGATGAAACTGAAATTTAAAATGAAATTTTTGAATAAAATTTAGAATTAAATACTTTTTTGCAAAGATAAAGGACAAAATATTTTTGCAGTTACATATTAACAAGGTCACAGTTAGGTATCTTTAATAAAAATAAGAGTAACACAAAAAATCTAGCTTGTATTGTTGTGTTACTTTTGACCCACCTGTGTGTTACTTTCGAAAGTCGAAAGTAACAATGTGCAACTTATGTTCAAAGTGAAATTATACTTTAGTCTTTCTACATTTGTATAAAATACCACCTGGTATTGATAGACCACACTTCTGAGTTATTGGCCGCAGCAAAAATATATATCTGTCTACAAAATTATCTTTTTAAATTATGTTTTTCTGAAAAATGGTACTTTCGTCCCCACTTTCCCTCAGTCTATGTACAGGCTGGGTTGTTCATTAGGCAACCAGTTCAAGAAACATATTCAAAAAAGCTTTGCTGTAATAAATTATATAACTATGTGTAAATGTTTATAAAAACAATTAAATTCAAACGTAAATATTTTACATAATATTAATTTATTAACATTAAATACAACACAAATGTATTTATTTATTTAAATTCTACATTCCAAATATTCTACACCATGTGACTACACCATTATTTATGTCATAAATACAATCAGGATTATACTTTACTCAGACAACCAAAGGTAGGTTACCCTATTTCAGAAAACTAAATAAAAAGACTGAAATTACAGATTGCATTTAATTTTGACAGCGATATTTCAGAGTGATGCCAAAGATGTCATCCCATGTTAACATAATAATACACTATGAACTCTCGATTGCTAGTTGTCCAACTGCATAATACTTGCTTTTCTGCTGACATCCTCAAGATGTGATTATGAAAACACCTCTTCCCCGAGAGACCTATTTTCAGAGTTATCAAATAATATGTTTGCAGTTTCTTCAAATGTCTATGAAAAGCTTCTCAAATGTGCAGAGTTCTCAGGTGTGTCCCTTTCAGAAGGCCGTGTACGATTTCGGATAATTGCCAGACTGCATTTGTCCTCCACATCTACATATCAATGGTGCCCAAACTATGTGGACATTTGATGTGCCGCAGTATTTTCAGAGCCTTTTAATGGTGACTCAATAAAAGCAGGCATCTTTTTATGAGCAAAAACAGTCTACATCTTGAAGCAATTACGACCGCCCCAAACCTCAAAATATGACTAGCTATTTTGCTTCTAATTTAAGCATGAACGTTATTAGACATGCAAAAATCAATCAATGTCAAATCTACAACATAAATTACCAATATGCACTACAAAACAATCTGCATGCTATGACATGGCGCCTATGTATTATGCTTATGGATTGGGATTCCTGACATTTTGCTGCTCTTTAAAAAGCAGCGGTGAGTGAGCAGGCTGGACAGCGAGAAGTTATGAAGTGGTGGAAGACATTTATCCATATGTCAGTGATAAGAGGCAACCTGTCAAAGGCTTGATGCCAAACTGCACCACCCGATGCGTAAACACTCTCACACGGACAGTTCTTTTGTGCGATCAATGCCAGCTAGAGGCATTTTAGAAATCATCGATAACAAACACACCTCCGTTCTCTTTCTTATTCCATCCTTTATCTGTCAAGAGCAAATTTGTCCATTGCCTAAGCAGTGGAAACAGCGTTGCATTATTGACCACGCTGTCTGCATTTATGTGTGTGTAAGTGACTGCCGTCACGATGGAAGCGTTGATGGAAACGCAGGGCTGTGACAAATGTTCCCCATTGACATGTTCACTAAATGTCCTTTTATGCGGCTGTAGCTATTAAGTGCACACTTTGGAAAGATAAATGAGACTTTGTGTAATCATGTTTATGTATTCAGTTAGATTCTGCTCTGTTATATTAGGCTGTGAGACCAACTAGATGGGCTTGAACCATCTAAGACTAAGATTTTTTTCAGCATGGTTCCTGACAAAGTTAGCAAATTGCCTATGGCAGATTATTTACTAATATTTGTGTTTCCTCCGATGACTTGTTTTGCTAAATTTGATCAAGCCTTGGTAGCTATTGTGATTGCAAACACGGCAATATGTTGCAGTAGCTCGGCCCATTAGAAAGACTTTAATTCTCACTATAGAGAGCTCGCTGATTCATGAGGCCTAGAGGAGCAATAACTCAGAGATTTATCCCCCGCTAACAGAGTTGCAAATGGGACAGCCAAGAGAAGCTAATGATGTACTGTTGCTGCCAGTTAGCCAAGATTTTAGCACCCAAACAAAGATGGATTTAGGAAGAATAGTAAGCATGTTAGCATCCATATTTCTTCTAGGTTGTCACAAGGGATTTTTGAGGGACAAAATTAGATTTAGTCTTCTTATAGAGAAGATAAATATCGGCATATGCTACAAAACATTGAACAAACATTTAATATCACAAAATATTTTCAAATTTTTCAAATTTGGATACACATACACTACTGTTCAAAAGTTTGGGGTCAGTAAGATTTATTTGTTTAAATTAATATATATATATATATATATATATATATATATT